TACTCTGGGAAACATTCAAAAACATCATCCACCAATCAGCATATTCAGTTGGGACAGTAACTGAGAGATGAATGGCCTGCTTTTGCTTTGTTTTGCTAATTTTAACTTCTATAAATTGTAAAAACAGATACATTTTTTCAAATCTTTAAGCACTTGCAGTTTGTACTCCAAATCTGACCAGCTGAATAAGGTAGCAATGAGCTGTAGGCAATGTTTGTAGGAAATGTTATCTAGCCATGTCCCTGGCTGTTCTCACCAAGAACATTGTCACTGAATTCCATAAGTATAATGAAACCAAACCATATGCTTTCCTGCAACTTTTAGTCTCTACACTGATGAGACACATATTAATTGAAGTTTGTGATAGAAATTCCTGACTCATAGGTTAAAAATGTAACCAGCTGTAAGTCAGAATGTAATAATACCAACAAAGCAGCCTACTCTCTGCGTCTGGTGGATTCTGCTCTGCATGGAAAACACACTGTATAAAGCAAAAGAAACAAAAATGCACCCTGTTAAAGAGCAAACAAACAAGGAAGTATTCATAAAGACAAATATTTATTAATGCAGTCATCTGTAATGGCAATGGAGAGAGACAGACACTTCTTGAGGGAGACTCCAAGGAGCAAGCTAAATTTAAGTGCTGTGGATCATTCCTGGTTGACTATCAATGAGGCTTAAGGATATTAGCATCTCCAGGCTGATGAGAGATTTTGTGTATACACTCCCTCTTCTATCTCCAGACAACTGAATCTAACATTAAGAGAAACAGAACAGGAAGCCAACTTCTTCTCAAAAGGCTAAGAAAAATCACTGTTCCAGAGAGAGTGTGAAGCAAAGCAGCTATTGTGAGGAGCATCTCTAAAACCTGAAGGGTAGCATGGAAAACCAGATAAAAGCAGGGATCTAGAAACACAATAAATGCAAAGCCAAGGCTTGCAGCTGACTGATGGAGGGTAGATAATCTGGTGTGCTTTGCTGCAGCAGAGAGGACATGATCCCCTTTTGACATAAGACATAATGGTGGCAGCCTTATGCAGTAAGTCTTTGTGAGCAGAGGGGCCTCTGCAGATGATGCTCACAAAGAGGTGCTCCACTCTAGGCTAACCCTCTGTTGTGAAATGTTTTAGAAATCAAGAGTGACAGCTTATCCAGGCAGGCTATGCAAAGAATGCTCAATGGCTCAACCACCAAACAGATGTGCTGTGGCTTTCTCAGTAAGCTGTGAGCAGTGGAAAAGCCCTGCTGTGATGCATGCCAAGAGGGAATTACTGTCCATGATCTTGTGGTTATGAGGGCACGTGATGGTGTTCACAAGTTATCGGAGCATATATCCTGCTCAGACTGGATGCTTTTCCACTTTGCCTTACACGTGGGCTTTCTATGCAAACACCTTGTCTGACAGAAACACCCAGGAATTCAATATGATTGAGGATTGGTGATCAGTCACTACAGAAGAGGAAAGGATGCTGTGTCTTCATCACCCTTCACCCTCCAGTTCTGCTGATGAAAGACTTGTGCTTTTCTCAGGACAGGTGGTATCTTATTGGAATACATAGTTAGTGATACAAACACACCAGACAACTTTCTCTTTGAACTAGATGATATTTAAGGTCCCTTTCATCATAACCCATTCTATGATTTTATGATTTGAGTTTTGATTGAAGTTCTGGAGCACAGTGCTGGTTGAAGACTGAACTGACACTTCCTGGTCAGCCAGATCAGAAGATCAGAACAGAAAAACAGAGTCTGAGCACAGGAGTAAGGAGGAAAAGGAGACTGTGTGCAAACAAGAAATTTGAAGTCTTGAGAACAGACAAAATTCTGTTGTCTGCTGTTGATTTAAACATTTAGATTTCTAAAACAAGCAATAAAGCAGGTGCCAAAGAGCACCACTAAATGTGCACCAAGGAACTGATGCATAGTGGGATATCTTCACCACAGAGCCTGTAACTGTGCATGGGAGTGTCACAATCTCTGTGCCAAACCTCAGGCTGAGGAAGAAGTGTGCTCCTGATTCCCTACTGATAAATGAAGGGGGGATTAAAGTACACCCAAAGAGACCAATTGGTGCATTATTAAAAATGTGCACAACAATCAATTTGTCCTTCAAAGCATGTTAGTTTGGATTTCAATCAAACATGCTGGACAATCAGAGGTCTGCAAGAAGCAAACAGTCATAACTTTTGCTTTTAAGAGTGAACCACTTTGATATCATATTAACCCACAGCCTTGGCTTGCCAACAGTTAACCCTAACATGGGCAAAGAAGAAATTCCTCTTTCGTATACAGTAGGATTTATCTCTGAAACTTAGACTGCTCAAACTGATCAACACCACCTGAACACACAATGGCTTTTTCATTGTCTTGGCAGATTGCAATTAGTTTTTGTTTTCTTTTGTCTGTTTTTTGCACTGAAAAATTTCAGCATGAATGGGAAACAAAATAGTTACACAAATATGGAACAAAACCCCTGAAACCTTCCATTTTAGGTGGCTTTGGGTTTTTAAAGTAAGACATTTGTAGACACTTGTTTTTATGTACCTAAACAAGGTGCCATTCTTTCCAAAGGAAATACATATCCTTTTTTCTATCAACCTTACTAAAATGCTGATGTCACAGTTATAGGGCATAAATTGCTTTTTAGGAACTTTTCTACATGAATTTCCAGAGTAAGGTAACTACTTCATCATATTAAAAGAATTAAAAATTATCTGAATAACAAGGTGTCCTGCAAGTCCATGCTCTGCCTCCTATACTCCTCAAAGCACACAGCACTGAAACTAGTTTTAAAGTCACTATATGCAAGAAGTAAGGAAATACACAAATTCCTCTGGACTATTCTTACAATCTCTTCCTTCCAAAGTCAGCTCCTTCAAACTAAGTTTCTCATTATATTGGCTGTTTCATTCTACACTTTTTCTGGTTTCTCAGTATCTTTCAATTTTCTACATTGCTCCCTTCCACATCAGATGATTTTAACAGAGCAAACACTCACAATGTCTCCACTTGACAAATTAAGAAAAAAAAAGGGAAACTTCCTCAAAAAATATTTTCTCCAATTAAATATATGCTCCATCTTATGCTTTCCACACCTATATCACATGACTGAGCAGAAAGCCAGTGGGGTACATAGAGCTGCAAGGTAGAAACCCTTCACATTTCTGTGCAAAAGAAAGGAAAATTTTATAGTTCAGAAAAATAAAAAAGGTTAGAGTCAGCTTAGAAAATATGGTTTCTGCCTCCAGCTTCTCTTCCTCCCTCGAAGACTCAACTGAAATGTTATTTTGACTCATCTTTAAACAAATTGATTCCAATTTAAAAAAAAACCAAACCAACCCTATATATTATCACACTTGCATAAAGAGCAACATTCAAATATCATTAGTCACTGCCCAGAGAAGAGTCCTCTGGCTGACTTTCTAACAAAAACTTCAGAGAGGTGTCTGTTATCTCAGACTATTTATTGCAGCCACAAGGGTGCTCACTGGTTGGAGACTTTCTCCGGGTGCTCTGGCTGGCACAAAGCACTTGACAGCCACCAAACATCCTGATTCCAAATTTAAAATTCAATTCAGAAAGCCCCATCACCTTACAGTTGTGAGACATGACACAGAAACAAAACAGATAACACCCCCTCCTCGCCCTTTCGCCCACCGGCGCAAACACACTGTATCTCCTGGTAATACATAATAATTAAAACGAATCCTTGCTGCACTTGCTGTGTGCACACTGTGTCACATACGGTGAAGCCTCTAATAAATGAAATTGAGTTTGAAGATGAAAAACATGTCTCACAAAAGCGATGGAACAGGCTGTATTAAGGGTATTATTAGGGAAGAATGTTTGGGAATAAATGGCACTACCAGTTAGTTCTTCCCTGCTAAAAGGGGTTGCAAATAATTATAATAATCAGTTACTCTCCTGTTGCTCAGCCCATGACAGGGGATCTGGCTCTCCTTTGCTGTCTCCTGGCATTTGCTACTGCTGGCCCTTCTGCTAGGTCTTCCAGGTTCCTGGGTACTCTCCTCTCCTTGTTTCCTGTCTTTCCCTGCCTCTTTCTCTAGGAACTCACTTCTGGCCCAGCTCTCAGCTGCCTCCTTACCCCATAACCATGTGGAAGAACATTTTCAAAACTTCATTTCAGAAAGGAACTGGAGGAGTTATGGTGAAGATGATTGGGTGGGTAGAGGGAGCAGAGACCAAGGAGAATACTTTATATACAGCATTGGCTACTACATGACTTGATGGTAAACACAGCCCTGGATTCTGGGCATGACCTATCCTGCAGGAGATACGGAAGGGCTGGGAGGAGGTTGTAGAAACCCACACAACCAGGTAATGGGAGGAAATTGGTCTCCTCCTGCTTGAGTGTCTCTGGTAGGCTCCTATTAGTGCGTCTCCCCATGCTCAAGACAAGCCAAAGAAGCAATTTTCCAGCCAGGTTCAG